TCATGGTGATATCATGAGTTCATGTGTTCACCTGTAGAGTCTCTTAATGTCTGTAATGGAACTAAACGTCTCTTTAAAGGACGTTTCCTCTAAATGAGTTTGTTCTCAGACTCTGATGATAAATCTCCACTTCAGCAGCTCTTACATTCACCAAACTTCACTCGTTCATTCCTCTCTGTGTGCTGAAGGTTCACACAGAGGGGTTAGTTCACACACCACTCACACACTCATTTATACATTTATTAATAAAAACATGGAGGAAATGGATTATTTTTTATTATTTTTATGGCTGTTTGAAGATATCTTTTTTCTGCTATTCACCTGTAGAGTTAGTTTTGTTTCTTGACTTTTAGTAGCTGAGGGGCTCCGGAGGTAAAGTGTGTATTCAGGCCCCTCATGTCTGCAGGCGCTCTTTTTATTTGTGTACAACAACATCAAATAAATTCTGTCTCTGGACATGACAGGATGTAATGGCTGCTTTTGGTTAAAGTCGAAGGTTTAATGAACATAACCACCACCCCCCTCTGGAAAAGCTCAGGGCTGCATTTCATTATAAATTATTCTCCAGTTCTTTAAGTGAGCTGCTCAGAAGAGTTTCCATGAGATCATCAGCTGTCAGTTTGGGAAACCGCTCGCTTCTATTCTGAAACTCAAACCGGGCGCAGCAGCAGCGACGTCGACGTGGTGGCACAAAAAACATACAGCAAGAATATATAAATGTGAACAAGAGGCTCTTCTTTTTCTTTTGTCATAATTGTTTTTCATAAATATCACTTGAGCTATTTCCTTCTTATATTTAAGTTTTTCTTGCTCACCTGTTTGCTATGATGTAATCTGATTCATGTGTTAATAAAACTCTTAATGTTGACAAAGGTCAGCCCCAAATGTGTCATTCTGCATTTTCTAATGCATGATTCTTACCTGAACGACACTTTTTCAATTCATTTTTAAAAAATATTGTAAGCCTGATTAATTGATAGTCACCATTTTTTATAAAATTAAAACTAATTCAATAATAAATTAATAAAATAATAATAATCATTTTGTTTTTCAAATATCAATAAAAAATAATTATTTATTTAAGTCACTTTTCTATTTTTATTTCTTAAAATAATACAAAAATTGCCAAATTGGTAAAGTCACTTTTTTAATTTTTAATTTTTATTTATCAGACTCTTAAAATGCTTTTCGATGTCAGATTACAATTCAGATGAATTAAGATCAATAAGCACACATTTATTTCTCTAGTTGTTTTTTCTGATGCTGATATTTGAGTTTTTGTTACATTTACAATGTTTTTTAAGAAGTTAGAGACCAGTTCAAACACAACATGCTGGTTCTTCCATGTGTGACTTGGAGGTGACAGCTGTGAATATTCCTGTCTTTTAAATGGTCACAGAAACGGACCGACTGGCCCTTTAATGTGTTGTGTAACAGAGACGCAGTAAACAGAATCTCCCGCCGCTCTCAGAGAGGTGAAGGTGAGGGAGGAGGATCAAGAAGAAAACACATTGGAGCATAAAAGAGCAGCCAGTTGTTTTCCAGTGACACCTGACACCGACAGGTGGTCTGATCTACACATCGGGTCGAGTTCATAGGCCGACGGACAAACCTCCGGTCCTCGTAAACAACAAACACAAATGTGTTTTTTAAATGTTTTATGATGTTTTACTTTCTAAGAAGGCGGGACGGCGGGTTTCTGAACTGAACTTTGCTCCCTGAAGTCTGAGAGATGGTCGTGACAGGAAGGAAGACTAAAAAGATCCAGACTTAAAAGTCAGAGCCGAAGAATCGACTTCAGGGATGTGCGTCAAAACGCGCCGCGTGTCGGAGCAGCCGGTGTGTGAGTAACCAGTGTCAGGGAGTGGAGGAGTAGTTTTCTGGGGTTTGTTTGGTTTTTCTTAGCCTCTCTCTCTCTCTCTCGTCTGTAAAGAAGATTCTGTGTCTTTATTTTTCTGCATGCGATATCCTCCGACTGTACGAGCGCGGAAGTTCAGCGGGTCCAGTTGTCGGCCCTGAGGAACGCCTTCAGAGCTGCACGAGGACAATACAAAGATAGGACACCTAGAACGTAGTTATCCTGTTACTGATCGACACTGATCATCGGCTTTAAGTCTGTTACTTTTCTCTTTTATGTTAGGTTTATGTTTTTGTGTCTTTTGCTGTTATTTGTGCTTTTATGTGTAAAAATGTTGAGCTGACCAGTGATCCCTGACGTGTCTCAGCAACTACAGAAAAACATGTGAGGTTCTGATTATTTGAACAAGCCCTGCCCTAAAGCATCCCCTGCTTTATGGTCTGTGTGACTCTAAATGGACCATAATGTACTAAATGAACATCATGCTGTATTGAAGAAGACTTGAAACTAGAGATTGAGACCATAAACTCATGTTTACAATGTTTACTGAGGTAATAAATCAAGAGAGAAGTAGAGTCATTTTCTCATAGACTTCTATACAACCAGAGGAGTCGCCCCCTGGTGGACACTAGAGAGAATGCAGCCTTAAGCGCACCCCAAAGAGAAGCTAAGCAGACACCATCCCTTTAATGCCAACATTCATTGCATGTCATAACTCACAGCCCCACTAGGGGGAGACACGGTGCCTCAGCGTTCATTTAAAGCATCTTTCTTTTTAGAAATAAAAGACAAACTGAGACAACAGAACACACGAAGGACATTAATGTGTAAAAATACCTCTTCTTTTTATTGAATTTCCATCGTTACAATTGCACATAATCAGTTTGAGCAATCTAAAATATTTATAGAAATTCATTGAGCTCTAAATGAACAGTCATCAGTCTTTAGCAGAGGCTTTAGAGATGTGTAAATATACTGAGAACTTCACTTTCCATGCCCCCCCCCACACCCCCCCACCACCGTACAGTAGCATCTCTGGATGCGTCTTATTCTGAAAAACAACAAAAAACAAACAGCCCATTCCGGATTAAAGAACACAACACCGCAACATCAGCAGTCACATCGAGCTGAGTGTACCAGCAGTTCACCACCTGCAGCACAGAGACACCAAAGTCCACAAGTCAGGTCGAAGATCGACGGGTTCCACCTCGAGGATGCTCGAGAGCTCGAAGCTTTGGTGGTGAAACAAGAAGCGTTCAAGAAAACCTCAGCACGCCAACAACACATTTACACTCCATTTAATCTGGCTAAAAGGTGCTGGAAGCGTTACACACACACACACACACACACACACACACACACACACACACACAGGCTTTTCTCAGATTTCTAAATCGTCTGTGACACATTTTAAAGGATGGAGGTTGCGCTGAATTTCCGAGCATCAAATTCTGAGTAGATAGTCTCCACTCGGATGTCCTGCCCCCCCCCCAGTGACAGAGGGCTTACTCAGCAGGTGAACACGAGACACAAATAGACTCGCAGATGGGAATTCCCACAAGTGAGACAACATGAATGAATGCTCAGAGAGAGAAAACACACAAAGCCTGACATGGAACTAAAAAAAGACATTTTTCTTGATGGGCGACGACTGACCGGCTTCATCCCCGTCCCCGTCCCCCCCCAGAGAGACCACCATGTGACGGGTGATTGGACTCTTTACATTAAAACCAGAATATGAGCCGGCTGTCCAGAGGAGGTGAACAGTGTGGAGTCAGAAGGTTCTGAGAGCAGCTTTGGGACGACGAACATCAGATATTAGTTACAATCTGACAAAGCAGCACTGAAGTACTTCAGGAAACCATGAACTCATTTGATCCCATGATTAACAGGTGGATGCTGCAAGTTCTCAAATAATAGTTGGTACCGACTCTGCAGCGATGGAAACACGACACTCGGGTCGGCATTTACGCCTTTCGTCTTCCTGCCGCTTTCTTTGTCATCTCGGCCACAAATTCCGGCGCCGAGCTTGAAGAGAGATGAGGAACATATTAAAGAAAAGAAGTAACCACCGAAACGTTTTCACCGGCCTGACAACACAACACCTCGCTGAAAAGTGATGCAATGTCCATCTAGACCGCTGCCTTTCATGATAAAAGATACGTTTCTTACAGCATCACACTATGTGACGATGTGATATGGCTCCTCATTCCAAAACATCACAGCAACATGCAGCGTCCCGGAGAGAGACCGGAGGACCAAGACAGGGTTTAAATATGAGCGAAAAGCCTCGTCAGGCACTTTAAAGACCTGCACACACGTCGCACACACCTGGAAACCGCTGCAGGTGATGAAGCAGCAGGTTTCTACAGGTGGGACGTCAGAGTGACGCTCGTCACGCAGCGGGACGGCTGCACACGCTGATATTGAGATGCACGTTAAAGGTCTGGAGACCGTGGTGGGAGGAGCTAATGGAGGAGGGAGACAGGTGACGAGCCAGATGTTTTTGTATTTGTCTTGTTAGCAAAGAGCTTTATCAGCTGGTGGACGGTGAGCTGGAGGGACCACAGGTTATAGTGTGACGGGTGAAAGGAAAGTTACATCTGCTACAGGAAACTCCAACGACTGAGCCGAACTGAACTCGGGACAAAAGAGTTTGTGAATGGCGGCAAAACAGCAAAAACTGAATATTATTATTAACAGGAAATGAAACCTGCTTAAGAAAGAACTGAACCCCAGACAGCAGAACCTGATGTAGTTTGTTAAAGGCCCAATCTGTAATCGTTATGTGGATCATTATATCATATTTTTGCATACGATTATGTATATAACTACATTTACTGTGTTACAAACATCTTTAAGTTCTCCACATAGTTGCATGAATGACGATAACTAAAAATTTTAAATTCCTGCTGTGTTTACGCAAGAAAACAATCATAAAACTTAAAGCTGCACTCATCAATATATTCATATTGATAAAGGATCAAATGACAGGTTACATTTAGTGACTCCGTTTTTAGCGTTTTAGCATCTTTTAGCCGTTTGCTTTGGTTCATTCTCGCCGCTCTCATCAACCGAGTTCTCATATTCCAACTACATCACACGACCTGTTCAGCACCAAACGGCAGACGAACAGTTAGCGACTAGCTGGTGAACATAGCGGAGCATTTAGCAGCTGGAGCAGCCAAAAACAGAGCTGAAAGAGAGAATTCTGGACTATTTTATAAATGTTCTGCTGCTCCCAAGTGGCCAAATAATAAAATGAAAATATCAATGAAAGCAGCTTTAAATGTAGCTGTTGTCTGGTGTTTCCAGTGGAACACTCTTTTGTTATTAAAGGGCCAGTGTGTATAATATATTTAATTTCTGCCAATAGATCCCCTGACACACACTGGCCCTTTAAACCCAGTTATTTTCAGCACTGTTGGAGTGCAGGGCGCCATAAGTTTTTAAGGTACCTGAATTATTTTATTTATTTATTCATACATGTATTTTACATGTTTATGTGGGGGATCAAATGTTAACAAGAAGTCCTTTAATTTCATCTTCTGTCTTCTTTAAAAATCACAGATTGAGCCTTTAAGCAACAAACAAACAGCTTCAACGCGGACGAACGAAGCCGGAAACAAAAAAAGCAGAAAACATAAAGTGATGACGTAATAACAACATGTGGAGAGACAAGAAGATGATGTTGCTGATTCCAACTGTCACAATAGTCTGCCACTAAACAGTATTTCAAGTTTCCCATTTTGTCATTATATCTTTCTCGGCTTCCGGTCACAAACCGCGGTGAGAAAAAGAGCCGAGCGCAAGAATACTAAGCTCCGCCCACAACGAGATACACAAACAGGAAGTGGAATCGTGATGCGGCAGGTGTGAGGGGGGGACGGGGACTGATGTGATGGGAGAGATCCCTGCATCCTCATCACTATCCTCACTACAACATATGAGAGGCACATAGAAGGCAAGTTACACTTTTAAAAGCATTTACGTGTTTGAGCCAAAAAGAAGTCTCTTTTTGGCTCAAACAGAGACTTCTTTCGCCCCCCCCCCCCTTGCAGGTGAGGCGACTCAGTCCCCCAAGATGACCTTCACAAATCAAGTGGTCAGAGGACAGCAGTTGTAATAAATAAAGAGAAACTGCAGTAAATAAGTCTGGGGGGGGGGGGACTGGATCTAAATAAAAACAACAATAATTAATATAATATTAATAATAATAGTAATAATATCCAGTTCTTTTCATGTTGACCATGGAGTGGAGAGGGTTGTGATTGGCTCAGTACAGACAACAAGGAGAAGATGTTCTCCCACAACTGACCACAGTGTCCACACACACACACACACACACACACACCCACACACACCGTCCAGCAGGGCTGCTCTATTCCCCCCGTGAAGGTAGCGAGGATTCGGCCTTCTGGCTGCAAAAACACATAAATAAGAGAAGCATCGCTTTGACTGAGGAGCTCTCAGTGACTCGATGGGACTGCAGAGGAAACATCTCTAACATCTCTAAACAGTGAGAGAAAAACATTATCTCAACTGTGAGCGCAAGAATCTCAAATTAATCCAAAATCCTGCAGCCCTGCAAACACACACACACACACACACACACACACACACACACACACACAC